CGTATGTTAGTGCTCGTTTGGAGGGGAGGGATCGAGAACCAATGCGAGGCTCTAAGGTGATGTCCCTCACCCAAATGCAATGCAAGCGAGATAAACAAGTAAACATACATCCAATCAACCAATCATACATGCGTGAGTGGGGGAGTAATTAATACGCGCGAAATGCAAAATCCTAAAAAGGAAAAATGCAACCCTAAAACACCTAAATGTGATATATGAAAAGGTTAAAAGAAGAAAAAGGTTGATTAAATCAAATTTGCTCGGACTCTCAAATGTCCCCAGTGGAGTCGCCAACTGTCGCGCCCCATTTTTTGATAAATAAATAAATGGTTTAAAAATGTATTTTTTGATTAAATTTGTGATTGGAAAATGAATTGTGATTTAAAAGAAAAATGGGTCTAAATGGGGGTTTGAGAATGCGACGATTTGACCCAAAATTATAGTTTAAAAAGGGTTTTTGAAATAAAAAATCGGAGTCGCCACTTGGTAATGAGTTAAGGTGTACCAAGTTACCTAAAAATGAATTTTTAAAGAAAAAATAGGAAAAAGTAGTAAGAAACCCCTTTTAAACGACTCCTAGTCCACGTAAACCAACGAAAAAGGTTCGGGAGTCACATTTGACGAAGGGGAAGGCAAGGATAAAAATCCAAGGCACCCCTTCGACCTAGCCAAGGCTAGTTGCGTGATTTAATCAAAGATTTTCTTGTTTTAACCAAAGAATTTATTACATTTGGATGTACTACATGAATGCAAACCCTAGACCTAGGGGTATTGGGGGGTAAAATTTCTCTCCAAAGCTTGAGTGATGCCAATCACATAAATTGTGAAGCCAATAATGATCCTTTGGAGAGATCACACATAATCCTAAATGACGTAAAAATGAGTGAGATGAATGCATGCCATATGAAAATGTGAGTTTGTGTGAAGTGAAAAAGTGATAAAAACAAGAGTGTGTAAGTGGAAGTGTGCAAATGGATGTACAAGATAAGGTGAGTAAAGTAATAATGTGAAAATGTATGTGAGATAACATAAAGTGCATGTGTGCGAATGATATTATAAAGTGTAAGTAGTTGAGTGAAAACGTGCAAAATTAAAGTAGTGTGAAGTGAGAATGTGGAAAAAGGGTTAGAATATAAAGTAGAAGTGTATGTGAATGAGTAAAATGCATGAATCCTATAGGAATGCATCAAGACGGGAACGGGGAGTCCTAACTTTGTGACTTTAATTTTCCCTTCGATTAGAAGGGAGAACTAGCGTGCTAAGGCTATTTTGTAGCCACACTCGCTCGTTTCCCTTATCGAAAGAGGACTTTTCAAGCAAATGTACCCTATAACTAGCATGAGGTGCAAAAATCCTAAAGTGAGAGGGAAGGGATTAGAGGAGCATGCCAAATGATAAAACTAAGAAAAATGCATGAAATGTAGTGAACATGCAAGTATGCACTAATGAAAGGGGGATGGCCTATTGGGTCTAGCATTGGACTAGCCCTTTCTATGAATGAGCCACAACTAGCGTTGGACTAGTGTGGTGACGTACATTCATCCATCACATTCATCCATGGCTATAGAAAGCAAGTAGATATGCCAAACACTCATAAACACAGCACATAACACTTAGCATGCTCAACTAGATGCAAGAGTCTAATAAAGCAAATTAACACATAGCAACAAAAGCAAACAATCAAGCTAATGAACCTATTACATTTGCTAGCTAGGCACACGTCTTCAATAGGTCTTCATCAAGTGCTCTCCAAGCCCTATCTATTACAAGCCAAGAGGTGTACACATACCCCATTAAAAGAATAACTCAATAAAAGCAATAGTAAATGAAATAAAGGAACTAAAGAAAAGCAAGGAAAGCAAATTAGATATGCAATTATCACTTAGCACGTTGGATCACATAGGAGAGACAAAAAGGATAAAAGAAATTATACCTCCCTTGAGTTGATGCCTTAAATGGAGTGAAATCACTTATTTATCCTCCAAAATAAAAGAAATGGTCAAGGTACCAATTTATTTGGGAAAATTAAAGAAAATAGGCAAACACAAGCTCACTTGGTCATAAAGCCCTTAAAATTATGAATTAAAAGCAATTTAAACAAAGCAAGGTGGCTAATTGGATCAAACAAACAGTGAAGTTGCAAATATTAAAACTACCCAGGACCAAATTGATGAAATTATTCAATTGATTGGGTCCTAGTGGAACAAGAGGAGACTTGAGGGGTCAAAGTGCAATTTTAGAAAGTTATTTCATGCAAGTTTCATGCAAGCTACGTGGGGAAAGGCAAACTTCTGCAACATTTTTCCCTTAAGCCTTTAGCAGCCCAAAACAAACATCCGAACGCAGCTGGCTTTGAAAACCAATTCTTTGATCAAAATCATAGTGTGAAACTAGGCCACAAGGCCCATAATTTTAATCATCAAACACCAAAATTTGGTTGCGGGATTCAACAAGGAACTGGAATTGACCGAAAGGAAAAGGAAAAAAAATGCAGCAAAGTTTCAGCAAGCTAGGAAGCTTTCGGCAACCGAGAATGAATCAGGAATTTTTTCCAAGCATCAAAAGCTTTGGATTAAGGCAAAAACCACAACAATACTACAACTCAAACAATCAACAAACATAGAAAGAAACAATGCAAGCTCCTAAAATTTTATGCAGGCCTATGAACGAAACTGCTGCAACAACCTGCTGCATTTTCAGTTAGCCAAGAGTGATTGTGCGATGGGAAAGGAGAATGAACTAATGTGGGCTCGTGTGGACTTGGGATAGTGAGAAGGGAAAAATGCAGCTCTATGATCTAAGCAACATGACACACAATTCCAACATCCCAACAAACCAAAACATAGAAGGGAAATTGCGCAAAATGCTAGAGATTGGCTCGGTAAAATCCTGGTTCGTCCATTTTTCAGCAATTTGTCTGGTCATAGTTCAAGTGTTTAAAACCCAAATATGCAAGTTCAAACCAATCTTCCACTGCCCCCTTCCCACACAAAACTAACTAACAAAAATAGAAGAGGCTAAAGCCTGGTGAAAGGTCACAGAAAAAGGCAGACAGCAAAGTAGGTGCAGCAACCTTTGCTCTACTGCAATTTTCTGTTACAAGTTCGCAATTCCAACTTGCGCGAATGAATGCAGAAATGCAACAAAACACAAAGAGGGAAATTCGTGGCAAAGGTGAACACCACATACCAAACTAAACCAAGCAAAACTTTAACAAGTAAGGGAAGGAAGCAAGGTTCGTCCCTGCTGCTGCAACAAGCCGAGGGCTTTGAATTCGTTGCAGCAGCTTTGAATCACTTAGCTACAACCAAACAAGACGCAGACTTCATGAACAAAATCCAGCAACTTTATTTTCCTAACACTAGGAATGGACATTTCCTAAACTGAAACAAACATAGCTATGCTGGTTCAATTAACAAGAGCAGCGAACAAAAAGGAAGCAAAGCGATGTAGCCAAGTTGACATGAACGATGCTGCAGCAGATTTTCTGTTATGGACTTCCCAAACACATTTCTAACTCCAGATGCTGTTCATGGAATTTCACTCAATCATAGATAACAAAAACAAGCAAGGTCAATTGAATCACAACTTCAGCAAGACAAAGGAAAAGAAGCCAACATGTCCGAACTGCTGCAACAAGTCGAAAGATTCAATCTTGTTGCAGCAAAACTCCTAACCTAAGGACCCAAGAACAAAAGGCCATACTCATAAAAGAAATATCACATCAGCCATCAAGAACACCGAACAAACTCATGATTCTCATAGTCCCATCATTTATTAATAGAAACTATCTATAAGAAAAGGCCAAAAGAAAAGCTTACAGTGCCGTTTCCAGTAGAGCTCTCGGCAACAAGGGTGGCAGTGAGTTCCTCTTCTGCGGTTGCCACCAGTTCCCAACTCTCTTTTAGTTCTCAGCCTTTTCTTTTCCAGTTTCCTCCCTGCTCGTAGGTCTCTTATCCGCAGCTCTTTTCTCAGATTTCACCAAGCTATCTTGATTTCTTTCCTTTCTCTGTTTCTCTCGTTCTTGCTGTTTTTTTTTTTTTTACTTCACGATCCCGTATCCTCACAACCTCTCTTACTCTTATCTCTATCCGCCGCCCCCTTTTTCTCTCTTTCTCTGGCTTGGTTTCTTTCTTTTCGCCGCCCACTAGATCCTCCCTCTCGGTTTCTTTTCTTTGCTGCCTTGGTTTCTAGTTTTCTTACCAACCTTAGCCGTCAAACTCTTAGATGAAGCCCCCCCTTGCGGCTGTCTTTTCTTTCCTTTTTATACCAGAATCTCCAACCCTAAAACCCCAGCCATCTCTCCTATATTTGCAGCCAAGGGGCTGACCAAGCCCTCCCTTGCAAGCTGCGAAAAAAATGCAGCTTGCATGCTACGGGTTTCTCTTCTTTTTTTTTTTTAAAAAAAAAAACTAATAACTTAATACAAAAATGAAAAATGATATTGAGTAAAGAAAAACAATAATAATAATAATAATAATATAAAAAAACAACAATTTAAGTAACATCACATCAAAAATAAACAAACAAAAACCAAGTCGCCATTTTTCAATCTTTTTTCTTCATTTTCATCTTTTTTTTCTTTTTTTCCCTTTTTCTCTTCAAGAAAACATGGAATTTAAATCAAAACAATTAAAGCATATTTTTTGAATGCTTTTCTTTTTCCCGAGAAATTCTATGCTAAAGTTTAAAAATAAAAATAATAAAATAAAATAAAAACTAAAAAACTAAAAACGCTGAAAATTTGGTGTCTACACTTATCCTTGCTCGACGGAGCAGTAGGTTGTGTTTTGGGGCAACACGATGATTCTGAAGGGAAAGAACAAGCTATCTACTATCTCAACAAGAAATTCACCCAATATGAGGCTAATTATTCATGTATTGAGAAAAGCTGCTGTGCATTGGCTTGGGCAGCTCAAAAGTTGAGGCACTACCTGCTAAGTCACACTACCTATCTCATATCCCGCTCTGATCCTTTGAAATACCTCTTGGAGAAGCCGATGCCAACTGGAAGTCTGGCCAAATGGCAAATGATTCTTTCAGAATTTGATATTGTTTTCACTTCGCAAAAGGCCGTCAAGGGACAAGCTATAGCCGATCATTTGGCAGAAAATCCAAACGACGATGACTATCAACCGTTCCATACTTATTTCCCTGATGAGGAGGTTTTACTTGTTGGTGCTGCAGAAGATATGAGCGAGTGGTGCCCTGAATGGAGGTTATTTTTCGATGGTGCGGCTAACTCTTTCGGTGCCGGAATAGGAGCAGTTCTTGTATCCCCAGAAGGAAAGCATTACTCTGGAGCTGCTAAATTGCAATTTGCCTGCACAAACAATATGGCCGAATATGAAGCCTGTATTTTTGGTCTTAAAATGGCTTTGGAAATGGAAGTTAAAGAGTTAATAGCCTTCAGTGATTCAGATTTACTCGTGCACCAAACGTTGAAGCAATGGATAACCAAAGATTCAAAGATCTTGCTGTACCATTGTAATTTGCTTAATTTGGCTAAACAATTTCAAAGTTTGGAATTCAGACATCTCCCACGAGCCCGAAATGTATTTGCCAATGCCTTAACCACCTTATCTTCTATGATACAATATCTGGACGAATTAGAAATCGAGCCTATCCGAATTCAACTTCAAGACAAGCCTGCTCATTGTTGGGTCGTAGACAAAGCATCTGACAAAAGCCCTTGGTACAATGATATTAAGGAATTCATTAAAACCGGGTCTTACCCTCCAAAAGCTAGTGCAAATGACAAGGGTTTCCTGTGCAGAATGGTCTCGAAGGTTTTCTTAAATGGAGAGATATTGTACAAAAGGACCTCAGATTTGAGCCTCTTAAGGTGCATCGATGAAGATGAAGCTCAATACATGATGAAAGAGGTGCATAGCGGTGTTTGCGAACCTCACATGAATGAGCATTTGTTAGCAAAGAAAATAATGAGAACCGGGTACTTTTGGCTTACCATGGAGCATGATTGCATAGACTTTGTCCGGAGATGTATTAATGTCAAGTGCATGACAATGTTATACGCGCTCCTCCCACTGAAATGCATAGCATAATTGCCCCATGGCCCTGCTCAATGTGGGTTATGGACGTGATTGGCACAATTGATCCTCCTGCTTCAAATGGGTATCAATTTATATTGGTTGCAATTGAATACTTTACCAAGTGGGTCGAAGCAGAATCATTCAAGCACGTGACAAAGAAAGTGGTGGCGAATTTCTTAAGAGATCACATCATATGCCGATTTGGGGTGCCAGAAACATTGATTACAGACAATGCCAAGAATCTCAACAATGACATGGTGGACGGGCTATGCGAACAGTTCAAAATCAGACATCGCAACTCTGCCATCTATAGACCGCAGATGAACGGAGCCATAGAGGCCGCAAACAAGAATTGAAGAAGATCATTCGCAAGATGACTAAAAGGCACCGTGACTGGCATGAAAAGCTCCCTTATGCACTAATGGCATATCGAACTTCTATCCGAACATCAATGGAAGCTGTATGGAATGGAATGGAAGCTCCCTACTCGCTCATGTATGGAATGGAAGCTATGCTACCTACCGAGGTCGAAATCCCTTCATTGCGTATTCTAATGGAGACCAAGTTGGAGGAGGCTGATTGGATAAGGCAGCGTTATGAACAACTGTCCTTGATTGATGAAAAATGGCTTAATGCTACTTGTCATGGCCAATGTTATCAAAAACGCATGGCCCAGGCCTATAACAAGAAAGTCCATTTGCATACATTTGAGGAAGGCGACAAAGTGCTAAAACGAATTTTGCCAGTACAGGATGAGGCCAAAAGCAAATTTGCTCCAAATTGGCAAGGGCCATTCATTGTTCAAAAGGTATTACCTGGCGGAGCACTCATTTTGGCAGAGATGGATGGATAGACATTCCCTCAACCTATCAACTCAGACATGTGTAAGAAGTTCTTTATTTGATTATACAAATTTCTTTTAGAAGTCACGCAAGTGATGAGACAAAAGTCAGGTCATCTTCCTTTTCAATTAAAACCTTTCATCCCTAGTCATCCCTTTTGAGCTATCAGAATAATAATTTTCGTTTGGCAATCCCTGAGAATTGCAAACCCCATACTGGGGTAAATTTATTTTGAAAGAGAGATGATCCAAAAGGAAAAGGAAAGGAAAACCCCACATTGGGGCAAATTTATTTTGGAAAAGAAAAGAAAAACAAACAAAGGAAAGGGAAAGGAAAACCCGACACTGGGGCAAATTTAAGTTTTCAAGGAAAAATGCAAAAAATGAGGAAAAGCAAAGAGAGAAAAATCCAATCAAACTGGGGCAAATTTTCCTCGGTTTCATTCAAAAATTGGAGATAATTTCAAAATAATGCAATTTCAGATTACTTCACACCTCTCATCAAAAAAAAAATTTTTTGCTTTCAAGCCTCAACTTTTCTTGAAAAACACTCCACCTGACCTCATTACAAAAGCCCAAAAATCCTGACTTTCATCACTTGCTGTATTTCTATTAGGGGTTCGCTAATCAACTGGCAAGTGATATCCATAATACCTTCGCCTAAGCTTATAAGGGAAGCGCATTTTACTGATGTCAGCAATTTTCAACTCACATTCCGGAGTCGATCATGGTTGAAATTTTCTATTGTTCCTTAGGTGAAAACCCGAAAGGGCACATAAAAAAAAAAAACAACAACAAAAAAACAAAAACAAAGAAAAGAGAAAAAAACAAAAAACAAAAAAAAAGGAAAAGAGAAAAAAAGAAAAAGAAAAGAAAAAAGAAGAGAAAAGAGAAAAAAAAAGAAAAGGAAAAAAACAAAACCAAACAAAAAGAGGTGGGGGCAACCTTGGTGAAAACCCGAAAGGGCGCTAAGGTAGGGTTCTGCAGCAAGCAAGCACGAGGAGGAATAGCTGGTGATTTGGTTCATTTGGATTTCTCTTTGTTTTGTAATGCGTCTGCCAATGTTGAATTCCAGAACAAAGATATCCAAAGATTCGAATATGACATCTGTTGGCCGAAAGCTGTGTTTCTGCAAAATACCTTTTTATAAAGCTCATTTTTTCTCAATTGCTTGTATTCATGGCATTTTGTAGGTTTAAGCACCGTTGGTTGTGTCTGCATTCTTTTGCATATTCATTTCTGCATGACATGTGAAATTACCTTGCATACATCATTTTTTAATCATTAAATTTTGGTGAATGACGATCCCCATGGTTTATTCGAAGCATACTTGGATTCAATCCTCTTTTGGAAATGGTTGAGATCCAGCAAAGCTGATTACGTAGGTTTCATGATATGGCAAGTGCATACATGGTCAGCTTGGGAAAATGCCACAGCAAAAGTTGACAAAGGCATAAAAAAACTTATGTTTACACGATTCTCAAAGCAAAACGGATCAAATGATGGTGGCAATTTCTTTGTTTTTTCTCTTTTCCAGAAAAATTGCATGCACAGATGAAAGCAATCACACCTCGCACTAGAATCGGTGTCGGAAAGAGTTCTCCAATGAACAAAGGCGGATCGAAAATGTTGCAAGCAAATTTGATCAAAAGGTAAGTATACTGGAATGTCCCAATTTTAAATTTCCTGTTTCGGGTCAATCCCGATTTTAAGTTTCCTGTTTCGGGTCAGTCCCGATTTTAAATTTCCTGTCTCGGGTCAGTCCCGATTTTAAATTTCCTGTTCGGGTCAGTCCCGATTTTAAGTTTCCTGTCTCGGGTCAGTCCCGATTTTAAATTCCTGTTTCGGGTCAGTCCCGATTTTAAGTTTCCTGTCTCGGGTCAGTCCCGATTTTAAATTCCTGTTTCGGGTCAGTCCCAATTTTAAATTTTTGTCCGGGTCAATCTCGATTTTAAATTTCCTGTTAGGGTCAGTTTCGTGTTAAATTTCCTGTCGGGTCAGTCCCGTTTAAATTTCTGTTTGGGTCAGTCCCATTTTAAAATTTTGTCAAAGGGGTCAGGCCCCATTTCTAACGCATCAGTCGTTCGAATAGTTTGCAGCCGAATAACACAGGTAAGTATTTTGGTGTCTATTTTTTTGTCTCAAATTTTTCCAAAACTCAGACAAAGAGGGGCAAACTGTAGACACCAAAATTTTAACTTTTTATTTATTTTATTTATTTAGTTTTTGGGTTTTAATTTTGCTTAACTTATTTTAATTTTGTTAAGAAAATTATTTCATTGCAAAAAAAAAAAAAGATCCCACGCGCGCGTGCCGATTCACGCGCGTTGTTTTATTTCATGAAAATGCATCAGGTACAGAAACAACATGCATCGTAGCCCCATCCTTTTTCTACCATTTTTCCTAGTTTTTTGTTTACCATTGGATGATCCTTATACTAATTACTTGGCATTCATCTAAGAGCCAAGAAATAACCTAGATGGAAAATAATCCAAGGGTCCGAGAGGTGAGCAGCTGAAGGTAGTTTCCATTGGAGCCATTGGGTTGAGGGTTTAAGGGATTGTCTGATATAAAAGGGGGGCAGCTGTGAGGCTAGGGGGTGGCGGAGTTTGGATAGAAAGGAAAAGCCGAGAGTTTTAGAAAGAAGGAAGGGTAAGATAAGAATAACAGAGAAAAATTCAGAAGGGAGGAGAGTTTGTGAGGACGAGAGGAAAATTGTGAGAGCAAGAAAGCCTTGCAGTGGAGAAAAGAAAACTGGAAAAGGAGCAAAGGAACGGGGGGTTGCCGGATCCCCATACCTTCACTTACTGTTTCCTTCATCCAGGTTGCGGCAGGTCTCGTTGGTCTACTGCGGCGCTCGATCATCCCTCAAGGTAACCTTGTTCTCTTATCCTCCTCTGCCTGCACATACTCCTCCTCCGCAACCAAAAGTTTCGATCCTTGATTCTGTGCTCATGATTTGTCTTCCTTCTTTCGGTTCTTTCATTTTCCATGCGTTGATTGATTCAGATTTTGGCTCCATATCGCTGCATCTGAGTTCTTTTTTATGACATGTTGGGTAGAGCTTTACTGTTTTTCTCCTGGTTAATAACGAACTCAAGATTTGTGAATGAATTCGAATCTGCAAGTCACTCCTTCCCAACTCAGAATTCAGTTTCTGTTGTGGGTACTTAATCTGGCATTTGGGCAATAGGTTTAGGAAGGCTAACTTTCATGGTGATATTTCTGTATTTTGGAAATGTTCAGTTCAGATTTTCGTTAAAAAATGCAGTCTTTCTTGCGCTGTTCAGATGTGCTGATTTCCTTGTTTGTTGCCGTCATTTTGTTGGTTCTTTCACTTCTGTTTTGCAGTCTTTTGCATCTTGTAATGGTTTAGTGTATGGGTTTGGTATGTTTTCTTTGGTTACGTGGTTGGGAACTTTTGTTGTTTTTGGCTCCTGATGATATCACTGTTGGTTCCATCAGAAGCTCATTTCATTTTCCTTGCCTTGCGATTTCCATGTTATTGTCCTTTGTGTGGTTTTTCAATGGCTGAGGATGTTCATTAGAATGGGTTACGGTTTCTAATGTATCTCAATTGATGAGTTTACTGGTTCTAGTTTGAGATGGCATGAGACATCTGGGTTGAATGAGCTGAACAATTGCAGAAGATGAACCCAACAGATTGTAGTCTTTTAGATTCATATGTTCTCGGCTATTGTGTGGTTTCTTCTAACAAGGATGAATTTATGTTTACATGAGTGATGAAGTTTAAGGGTTTTGGGAATAAATGTGCTGGTTTTGGCTTGGAACTTTGTGAGTGTTGCTTGAATAAGCTTAAAAATGGCGGCTGGAAAGGTTGTAAAACCCAATGAAGAAGATGAAGCTTCGTAACATGCATGAAATAATTCTGATTTTACACTTTAACCCCCCAATTCCCATCTAATGCTTTTAAAGCCTAAAATTGGGAAAAATCAATTAGATTGGCCCCTTTAGCTTCTTTAATCTTTCAATTGGGTCCTTGTTTATCTTAATTGGTTAAATATGAGTAGTTTACTTTCCTTGGAATGCTTTGAGTGATTCAATTTCGTGTGATTATTCGTTAATTAAAGTGATACCTTGACATTTTTATTGTTTTGGAGGGTAAATAAGTAATTTCGCTCCATTAGGGCCCTAACTCAAGGGAGGTACC